GGTTTCTGTAAATTACCTATTTACGGTTTGTTATTTATTTCTAGACTTGTGACATAGTTTTCCGATTCGTAGGATATAATATTGTTGATGAATGTGATAGGCAGACCCGTTAGTAGATTATTGTACCAGACTTCTCAGATCAGTTCAGGTTTGTTCCTATTGGTTTTAAAGTACCATTTTAAACTATATGTCTGAACTGTTTTAAAATTATGATGATATTTAATATTTAGACTGCATGACATCTGTTTACTACATGCTTTGACTTATAATATCTGGTTTTTGTATATTTTCGACATGATCTCTGGTTATAGTATTTTTGTACCTAATTCTAGATTTTGGCATGATTTAATGTTTTTGTAAACTAAACTATTGTTTTTCACTATCATTGGGTGGGTATGATTGGAGGAAGTGTTCCAAGTATAGTCTGTGACTACTAAGACCTTACCGTAGGCACCTTTTTTTTGTGCACAGGCTAAGACCTTACCGTAGGTCCTTATGCTATCAGTATAAGGTCCTTCTGGGCGTACAAGTGGGTGTATGGTTCAAGGGAACCTACACAGTTCAGTGTTCGGATAGAGGTAATGAATCATGATCACCTAGATTTGGTCATAATGACTAGGCCGGGTCTAGGGGTTACACTGACTATTGCACTATTCATAATTTTAAGATTATTATGGTACTATATTATTGATTGTGTATTTGATATATGCTACACTGGTAAGTTGATCATGTATACGATACTAATTCTGCAAGTATTATTGCATGCCTTATTGTGTATTTGAGTTGTATATGAGGAAGATTATGATGATCTACCGTATTAAGAAGTGACTAGTAGTTAGAGCCGTCTCAGAAATTTTCGGGAGTGAAAACTCAAAAACATGCTTTTGTAAAATGGAAGTATATTTATTACTTTAAACAATTAATTCAATATTACATAAATAAATCATAGAAAAATAATTAATTTGTGTGAAAATACATTATTTATATTATTTTATTAGGAAAACGCCTTAAATACAACTAAGAGAGAATAAATATAAAAAATTGAATATGTGTATGATGCATATCTTGATTTTGAATAGTACATAAATAAATAAATTGTATATTATTTTATTGTTAGATGAAAATTGAAAAGACTAAAAATTAAAGAATATTTGATAAATTGAAGAGGAAGATTTGAAAAAGAGAAAAGATTTGAAAAAAGAGAAAAATATGATTGGGTTAAATTCAAAATTGAATGGATTGATAAGAGAAATGGAAAAGGATATCAAAAACTAAAAATTTTATGAAATTATAAAAATTAGGGTCCTAATTATAAATATAAAAAATTGAGAGCCCAAATTAAAAATACAAAAAAATTAAGGGCCTTGAGCGATTGCCATGGTGCTCCCCCTTAGAGTCGGTTATGCTCGTAGTGTTTATTATTTGGGTTGACTCATATTATCAATTGGTTTATTACTCGTAATGTTTATTATTTGAGTCAACTCACATTATTATTTTTTTTATAGATTCTGAGTTCGAACATTGTCTGCAAAATTTATTTGTATTATCGATTAATGAAAAATATTTTAAATATATATATAATCTTTTACAACTCTATATTATTAAAAAGATGAATTATATATTTAGTACCTAAACTATTATTTTGGTATGTTTTAATACCTAAACTTTCAAGTTTTTAAAAACCATTCCTAAAGTTTGTTTTTTGTTTCAATTTAATACTCCTTTTCAAAATTTAACGTTATGTTTTGAGAGAAAAAAATGAAAGTTTAGGTACTAAAATGACCAAAAGTGATTATTTAGGTACTAAATGCATTAAGTTTTTAACAGCGGGGTACTATTGCGTGTTGTGAGTACTATAAATTATACGCAAATGATGTGCAAGTATACACAATCGAATAAGTAATAAAGTGATGAGTGAGTATCGTCTCCACAGGGATTGGTGGAAATTATGAATTTGACCACAACACTACTCTAATTTATCTAAGTATAGAAATGATATATACACTGATGATGCTTCGTAAATGGAAATCTGAGAGTGAATGAATTGATGGTGAGAGAGTGTGATTGAATGAATAATGTCGTGGCAAAAGAGCAGTTTATAATGATGAAAATGCCAAGGCAATGTAAAATGGTAAAAACAAATAAATGAATAACTTGACAATCCTCACAGGGGAAACTACTTCGGAAATGAATGGTGGGAAGACACTTAATGAGCTTAAAACTTATATCTCTAGCTGATCTAGTCTTCTAATGCCTTACTTGTTCAATAGAGTTTGCTAGAAGTGTTCTCGCTATCTCTAGTCATAAGAACCTAACATAATAGAATGTCACGGTATGTCGTCTCAGTATCAACTATGACAACCTACACTATTGATGACGCACTACCCCACTTAGACGTTGAAATCCTAGCTTAGTCTCTCTCAAGTACTAAAGGATTAGGCTATAGTGATTAATTATATCCCATTGCTTATGTTAATCCTTCGTAAGTTTTTCTCGAACACTTAAGAATTAGTGACTAGATTTCTCTCGAACATCTAGTCTTCATCTAAGAAATGAACACTCTCATGCCTCCTACAATCTTATAAGGTGAAGCACACATAGGCAAAACAAGTAAAAACAAAAGATAAACATTCATCAACCATTGAAATAAAGTTTCAAGCATCCATCAAATGTACCCACTAAATATAGCTTAGTTCATGGTGGGGTTCGAACAAACCATAGAGTATACCCAATCGTTCATTCGACCTTACAACCCAAATAAGATTTCAAGCTTTAACAATGGAGCAAAGGTTGGAGAAGAAAGCACTAGGTGTGCACGGCTGGCACTTCCCTCAAACCACCATGAACGGCTATAGCGTAAGCTCCTCTTGAATGCTACGACACTTCATCAATGGAGGAACACCAATAAAAGATGGAGAAAGAGGAACGATAATGGAGGTAGAGAAAAAGGAGAAGATAATGATAGATTTCCAAGCTTCCAAAAGTTGTCTCTCTCTCTTGTCACGTGTACTTTTAAATAAAAAATATTTAAGGGTATTCTTGGGAATTTTGCACTCAAAATACCCATTATACCCCCAAATTCATTACTTGTGCCTGAAGTTTATCTCCACAGGTGGCAGTGGACACCATTTAGACAGTTATCAGCAGCAAACACACGTGCTTTGACAGCTGTCCTCTTGTGAAAATATCTCTTTGTCTTTTTTGCGCTATAAATGCCAAGGCATTGAAGTATGCTTCAGCAACATGTGATGCCGTGGCATTTTTCTCAGCTTGCTCTATGCTCCTTGTTTCCTGCACATCATTAACCAACCATACATTTCCCATCATATAACACCTTAACAGAGTAAAAATAACACAACCACCACAAATGCAACAACATGAATCTAAAATGACCTATATGAACCCTTAGACAAACAATAACTTAAGTGAAAAAAGCCTTAAAAGTAGCCTTTTTACGGAGTTATCATGTATTAAAATGAAACAAAAACTAAATATTAAATATGATTTTAAATAAAATTAAAAGTTCAAGTACTAAAACGGACCAAAACTAAAAATTTAGGTAATAAATGCATAGTTTACCCTAAAAAAAACTTATATCTAACTATTTTTTTTTATTAGAGAATGAAACCCAGGCGTCATATTGGGCACAAAATCCTGTCTGTTTATAATTATCAATCTATCATCATATTCTCCATCGGACTCCTCGTGTAAAAAAAAGGCTGAAATTCTTCCCCTTTTATTTTAGCTTCATTTCCAAGGAATGGATTGGTGTGATGATGAATACTTTGCTTTTATTTTTAATTATTATTTACTCCCTCACTTTCCTATATCTGCCACATTGGGCCCTCTCTTCTCCCATCCTTGATTTTGAGTAATTACCACGTTTGGTACCACCTTTTACCCTTCTTTATTTAAAATCTTCCATCTGAAGCCAGCCCAGTCCCACTAGTAAGTTGAGTGCTACGGCATATTTGTGCAACTTTTTTATATAATTGTATTTATTTTTATTTTATTGATCTATGGGTTTTTATAGTTAAATGTCCAAAATAGAAAAACATTGAAATTTAGATTACCAGTAGTTTAAGAGATTTTTGGGAATTGATTGAAGTAGGAGCGGAGTCACAATTTGGTGAGGATGGGCACGTCTCAACCTCGAAATTTCGATTAATTATTTATTTTATTGATGGTTTCTGTCTTAAAATTTTCATATACACCTTGAAATTTGAGTTTTCTTCGATTAATTACTCATTTTACAAGCGGTGTCATGGAATTTTATTTGTATCAATCTCTTTTAAAAAAATTATGTTATTAATATATGTGTACCCACCTTAAAAAATATTTCTGAATCCATCATTAAATTGAATCAAACATCTCTGAACTATAATCGTGATTCTATATTAGTCCTCAAACTTTAAAATATTGTAATTGTATCCTTAAATTATTAATATATATCAATTAATTCATTTCATTATTAAAATCTATATCAATTAAGTCCTCAAATATTATTTTCTATTAATTTAGAGTGATTATAAGATAATATATGTTTAAAAGACTCTTAACCAATTAACAATGAACGCTCAAACACCTTTACAGACGCTATGCTCAAACTTAGAACCTCTAGAGATATTAATCATTTTTTAACCACCAAAATCGCTTAATTCGTATAATGTTATATCGTTTTAAATGTGTATCATATTATAATTTAATGTGACTTTTTTAATCAAACTTGACAATATTAAACTCATAAATTTTTAATCAAGTTCATTTTCGCACTTAGTCGATCTTAATAATATTCGAATTCGACTCAACTCATTTACGTCCCTAAATCAATACAGTAGTCATACGTTGAATACGCGCGTGAAAAGCAATCAAATCAATTGCGCGTTGTGAAACTGAACAAAAGTTCGAAAAGACAAACTGCAGGTAATCATCTTCCGCTTATATAATCCCTCGACTCTCTGTCTTTTAAATCCGGAACGCGATCTCAACTAACAATCTAGCTTCTTCTCCGCCGTCGGGAAAATGCGTGAGATTCTTCACATTCAGGGAGGCCAATGCGGCAACCAGATCGGTGCCAAGTTTTGGGAGGTTGTTTGCGCCGAGCACGGCATCGATTCCACGGGACGCTACCATGGAGACAACGATTTGCAGCTGGAGCGCGTCAACGTTTACTACAATGAAGCCAGTTGCGGGAGATTCGTTCCACGCGCCGTCCTCATGGATCTGGAGCCCGGGACCATGGACAGTGTCAGATCCGGCCCCTACGGTCAGATTTTCAGACCCGACAACTTTGTTTTTGGCCAGTCCGGTGCTGGGAATAACTGGGCCAAAGGTCATTACACGGAAGGGGCTGAGTTGATTGACTCGGTGCTTGATGTGGTTAGAAAAGAAGCCGAGAACTGCGATTGCTTGCAGGGTAAACTCTGTTTTTTTTTTAACACTACACCCATTTTATTTATTTATTTGATTTTGTTGATGCTTTCCTTCTCTCTTTTTTCAAGTAAAGGGTCCAGTTGTTTCATTTCATGTATTGGTTGATTTTAAGTGGTTGTTTGATAGTAAGGATCTGAGAATTTAGAAAGATATTATTACTATGGTTTTTAGATGATATTCAAACACAGTAAGATAGTTTGCAAAACAAACAAACATGCAATTTGATCTAAATGCTGTCAATTGCTAGCTTATGATCGAATAGTATTAAATTACTGTTACAGTTATGGTGTTACGTTGTGGATGTTACAGCCCGAAAATTACTATGGTTTTATGTTGCGGATGTTGTTACTAAAATAAATGTTTCGATGCAGCCGTTGCACCGTGTTGCGGAGGCTATTTAGTACTATGCAGTTTGCTTTCCTCTATCACCCTGATGATTTTTCCTTTTGATTTTGATTTCCTGATGGTTCTCTTGCAGGATTTCAAGTATGCCACTCATTGGGAGGAGGAACTGGGTCAGGCATGGGAACACTTCTGATTTCCAAGATCAGAGAAGAATACCCGGATCGAATGATGCTCACTTTCTCCGTGTTCCCTTCCCCTAAGGTCTCGGACACCGTTGTCGAACCTTACAATGCCACTCTCTCTGTTCATCAGCTTGTTGAGAATGCTGATGAATGTATGGTTTTAGACAACGAAGCTTTGTATGATATTTGCTTCCGTACTCTCAAGCTCACCACTCCGAGCTGTAAGTCGATATACATTTTCTGGCTCTTATTGCCTATGCTTGTTTGTTTCTCTTGTGCACTTTGTTGTGAAAATCCTCATCGATCGATCTTGTTTGATTCCAGTTGGAGACCTGAACCATCTGATATCTTCCACTATGAGTGGTGTAACTTGCTGCCTTCGATTCCCTGGTCAGCTCAATTCAGATCTGCGGAAGCTTGCCGTTAACCTCATCCCTTTCCCTCGGCTGCATTTCTTCATGGTTGGCTTTGCTCCGCTTACATCCCGAGGGTCGCAGCAGTACAGGGCACTTACTGTCCCTGAACTCACACAACAAATGTGGGATGCCAAAAACATGATGTGTGCTGCTGATCCTCGCCACGGGCGATACTTGACCGCATCAGCCATGTTCCGTGGGAAGATGAGCACCAAGGAGGTCGATGAACAGATGATTAATGTGCAGAATAAGAACTCATCTTACTTTGTGGAGTGGATCCCCAATAATGTGAAGTCTACTGTTTGTGATATTCCTCCGATTGGGTTGAAGATGGCCTCGACATTCATCGGGAACTCGACGTCTATTCAGGAAATGTTCCGAAGAGTAAGTGAGCAATTTACGGCTATGTTCCGAAGGAAGGCGTTCTTGCACTGGTACACGGGAGAGGGAATGGATGAGATGGAGTTCACGGAGGCGGAGAGCAACATGAACGATTTGGTTTCTGAGTACCAACAGTACCAAGATGCAACAGCCGAGGAGGAGTACGATTACAAGGAGGAGGAGGAGGAGGAGGAGGAACTCCAGGAATAGAGAAGTGTGTTAGTTTCTAATGTTTGTGGATTTCATTTAGATGTGTTGTTCACCTTGATACCTTGTTTGGGTGTTTGGATTGTGGCCTATTGTAGTAATTTAAAGGAGTGTTTGTTTACGTAGTTAGAGAATGGAATTACGCTTTCCATGGCTTTCTTGCTGAATAATTTAGGGTTCAATACGATAACACAGTAATCGGGAATTAAAAATTCTTATATATATCCTCTTAGTGTTCGGGTCCTATGCCCATCCCTATATATGTATACTTTCGAGATTACAAGAATTTATTATTTCAATCAATTAAGATGTACTCGTATAGAGAGTTAAAATTGTTCGTATAACATTAATTTATGTTTGTTTGTTAATTTAAATGAATGAGCGTAAATAAATTTTTTTATTTTCATTTAATAAATGAACAAATACGAATAAAGGTGTGTTCTATTCATTTATGTTCATGAATAAGTTCATTCATAAATTTGTTTGTATAATAGTTTTTAAGCTCGTTTATCTAATTCTCTTTTTTTATTTATTAATTTTTCACATTTTAAACATTGTTGAAGATGGGATTAAATTGAACATAAACTGAACTTTGGACTTCAAACCGTGAAATCTTAGGAGCTTAAGGACTAGTAGAATAATTTCACCAACATATTCATATATATTAATCGAATATTGTCAAACATTAAACGAAAATAATTGCAATTGTTAAAAGAACCAAAACAACATTTTAAAAAATAAACAAATAAACACAATATTAAAAATTTGACTTAAATGTATCTTTGGCTCCTGATGTTTCAAAAAAAAATTATGTGACCCTTATCATTTTTTTGGATCAATGTAACCTTTCAACTCGAAAAAATAACTAAATGTGGTCCTTTGACCAACGTTTTTCGTCATTAACCAAAATGCCGTTAATTCCTGCTGTTATAAATCGGGCAAATTACACCATTCATCAATCAATAATTTTCTTCTCTTCTATTTTAGTCACTAAACTCTAAAAGTTTTCAATTTCAGAAATCCTAGAGACTCAGGGACTAAGTCTGTAGTTAAACACTTTTATCCCCCATTTCTCTTTCTTCTTTCATGTTGTTCTTCTTGCACGCATTTGAAAGCTTTGTTAATTGCTCTGATCTTCGTTCCGCCATGGCAGTTTCCGATCCGAGCTTCCTTTTCAACAGCTCCGGAATCCCAGTGAAATCGTAGAGTGAAGCCGAGAATTTTCTCTCGTACGATATCATCGAGTGTTCGTCTGCGAAATTCTCAGCAGCCATTATTGGCATTTGGCACTTGAAGCTCTTCAACGAACTGGAAAGAAGAACAAGACGACTCGATTCCAATCGCATCCAAGAACTCGAAATCCAATGCCCCAGCTCCATCTTCGTTGTCAACAACACTCATCGCATTGAAGATTTCATCGTTCGATAAATCCTCGAGAACATTGATCGCATTGTTGTTGATACTAACAGGCGGCGGCGGCGATGGAGAACACGGATTATATTTGTTAGCTTTGATCCTTTGGAGAAGACGATCACTGATCTTCGAAGAAAGGGAAAGAGTCGGATTCAACGTCGAAGACGATGAAGAACAAGGCCAGAAATCCGTTCTCGTGTTCGCACCGCGAAGCAAGCAAGCGGCTTCGTCGTACGCCCTCGCCGCTTCTTCCACCGTATCGAACGTGCCTAACCAAACCCTTATCTTTTGTATCGTGTCTTTGATCTCCGCCACCCAACGCCCGAACGGCCTTTGTCTCACACCACGGTATCCTCCTAACGCCGCCCAGCCCGGCGGTTGCTGCGGCGTCTTGTTTGACCATTTCTTCCCAACCCATCGTTTGTTCCTCCGCCATTTCCATGCCCTTTTTTTTCCTACCCGTTTTCTTTTAGTTTATCAACTGAAGCTTTCTTTAGTTTCAGCTACGGCGGATGAAAAGTTTGGTGCTTATATATATATATATATATATAAAAGCTTTCATAAATGAATACAAATGGATGTTTTCAAGCTCTTCCATTGTTGATCAAAATGATTAAAATTTAAAAAAAGTAAATGTTTTGTTGCATTTGAAATTCATAACTTTTAGAGTTTAGTTACCAAATAAAAAAAAGAAAATAGTTGAGTGATAAATAGTATAATTTGCCCAATTTATAACAACATGAAATAATAAAATTTTGGTTGTGATGGAAAACGTTGCCATATTATGTTATTTTTTCAAGTTGGAGGGTCATATTGATAAAAAAAACAATAGGGGTTACATTGGTTTTTTTTTTTAATTTTAAGGCCAAAGATATATTTAAGCCTAAAAATTTGAATGAACTTGGACGTCTTAAAAAATAAACAAACAAGTTTTGCTTGTTCAAACTCGATTTATTTACACCTCCATGCACATATAGCATAGAAAATTTTAATAAATATTTTTTTGAGATTATAAAAATAAATTATTTCCATGAATTAATCTATAATATTATAATATTATAATATTATAAAAATTTCAAATTCTTATATGTCTTAGATATTTTCGATTGAAAATATATTTTAACCCCCTAAAATTTTATAAATTCACTCCTAACATAAATTTCTACATCCGTCATTGCATACTGTTATTTTTTTCTTTAATAACAACGCTGCTACTTGGATTATCCACTGTGAAAATACCCATTTCGTCAGTTCTTTAAAGTTCTCCTCGAATAAATCCGACTCGATATCAGACCCCATACCAGATTGGCCACCAGTTTGGTCCAAGTCCTTTGTGTCTTCGGTAACAGATAAGTCTGAAGCTTTCTCAACCTGTAACAGTGATGCCAACAAAATTTAATTTAATGAAGATGATTAACTACCATCACTGATATATGTGCTGGTATCATCACATTTTTCAGTAAAAGAATATAATCAACCTCAACATGGAGAATGCACACTAGAATTTGGGCAGGATTGTTTATGCTGGTTGATAGAGTATGTAGGAGGGAGATAACATAGAGATGCTCAAGTCCCTAACCTAAATCAATAGTCTAGCTTTTCGAGAGTGGTCATGGATATTATTCCATGTTAAGGACATTATGTGTCACTTATAGTGATCTTAATAACTTAATTTTAGGAATCATTTGACCCTTGATTTTAGGACTTTTTTTTTATAAGAAATGAGTCCTCATTAAAAACCCCTTCATAACCGTCGAGCTATATAAATATCCCAATGGACATTGGAAGGAGGAAAAGAGTGTCCCATAATTTTATTATTAACATAAAAGTACACCAAGCTTACAAAACAAAATTATTACAACCCAACATCCTCAAACCTAACTTCATCCCTCATTTAAGCGACACAACCATACAAGATACAAACCAAATTACCCTATGCCTGACTTAGCTAAGCTATCCGCTTCCCAATTAAAAAGAGACAACCCAACTTGAATGGCTTTCAACTCAGCTAGAATAGGAGGACCTGGACCAGACGAAACCGAGAAGGATCCCAACAACTTACTATCAGCATCCCCAAGGAGTCCACCAATACCACTGTTCTTCCAAACCCTTGATTTTAGGACTGATTTAGAGGATTTTACTGACTGTCCCTACTTTATAGTCTCTAATAATATATGAATTCAAGGGTTTTACCATTGTTACACAGTTATTAAAAAAATAAACTTCTTTTAATCATCCTCTTTTTCTACCCAGCTTTTCACATTTGCAAAGCTGATTCTTGGAACCACAATGGACGATTGCACAGAATACCATATTTCTATGACCATAAAAGTAGAATTATGGTAACAGACTCAGGTAGCACGCAACATACAGAACTTCGAATTGCAGAAAAGCATCAGAATCCATATCAAGTATAACATGAGAAGAAATTTGTTTAAAGTTATCCTAATTGATGCAATACATGGTAAAAATCTTGAAAAAGGAATAAATGAAATAAACTATGCTATTAATGAAGTAAAAGAGACATCAATAGATGTTATACCTTCGGAATCTTATCATGGTTTGGTGGACTTAAGTAAAATGCTTCTTTTTTCCTGGAAATGATGCTTCAAGTTAATTAGTTACTACAAATAAGAAAATCCATGGAGTTGCTGTTGGTCTACATGACTCATATATCTTTGAAATTATACATACCCTGGAACCAAAACAGATGATTTAAAGGTACCGTTTCCCGTCACGGGGCCATCCGGTTCAGAGAAAAAGTTCAATATAATAACATCCTGGTTTCAAAATAACAACAGAAGCTCTAGTGAGCATACCTCATTAACCCTTTCCATCAAACAAGGAAGAGGACAATAACTAAAGGTAGTGTCATTAACTTAGCTATTTGAGGATACATCTATTAGCATGCCCTTCTCTAATATCAAGATGCCAAAGCCTTAAAGGTACTAAACAATTTTTTCATTGCATACCTCATAATTTAGCAGCATTACTTTGCACATTAAAATAAGACCCATTTCTAGCACAATATACCTTTTCCTCCAAATTCCTTTCTAAAAATGGAACTAATTGCTTCATCTTTTCCAAGTACTGTGCATTGTCATGCCTGAATCAAGATAAGTGAGTGTTAGTGAAAGCAAACTAGGATTAAAGAACATTAGAAAAGAGTGATAAATGAACTTTCCTGTTTTGAAGCTATCCTACTACAAAACATATTTCCTCAACCTCAATAAACAAGAGAATCATGGAGCTTAAGAAAGAATCCCAAGTCATGCTATTCAGGAATTTCTTTAATTAGACAAAACACCAACAGAGGTCCTGCGGATGACTTGTTTGGGAACAGAGAGGAAAGAATCCCACTAGCATCCAAAATTTCTTACAGATGGCAAAAGTAAGCTGGAATGCATGGCATGTTTAGTAAAGAGCTTATTTGAACGTACCTTAAATACAGTTGCAGAGTGTATTCACCCTTTGCAAGTTTTGAAGATTTTGGATAACAGTCGCCCATTGCATAGACCCGCTGCAATTGATGAGGGCAAAGGGATTTTGGCAAGCCAGTAGAATTGCGGCACTAAATAAAGTAGATGCTCACTAAAAAGTAATCTATGGTAGAATATAAATTTTGATCAATGACTAACGCACTGCACATGTAAAATGCAGGTTCTACTTCATATGAGACACATAATGTGTTGGTTCAAAGCCAATTCACCGGAACCAGACATTTTTACTTACTATGTGGTCGAAATAGAAATAAAAATGTACCTTGTTTATGTCAGAAATCATGTAATAGCTGCTTTACCTTGTTTGAAACAGCAGCAGGGGCTAGTTTTTCTGATGCCAATAGTGCTTCAGCCTCAATCCTGATGGGTGCTTCACTTCAATCAAGGACTACTTCCGTTTTATTTACTCCAATTCCATGAAAGACAATCTAAAAAATTTATAAAAACCCACATGTAAGGTTATTAAATGGAAGAAAGAACTCTATTAACACTTAAAAAACTGCATTCCCACATTCGTCTCATCGAGACACCACAATTCACAGAACATGCAACAGGAAATATACAACAAAGAGGGTTGAATATGCATCTTCTGCCTATGCTATACTTTTCCCGTTTTGGTACCCAGAGAATAAAGACATTTCATAAGTCAAACTTCACCATAAGCTAATTTAGTTATGAACTATGATGTGGCACATTTGACTTTAAAAGTAAAGCTTCATCACCTAATATGTAAACACCATGTCATTTGTGGGTCTACTGCCACGTCAACCATTACAAGCCAATTTGCATGGTGCAAGGCAGATCAGCCACGATTGCACCAGACAGGCCAACCAGCTCCTCCTCCTGCTTCTCTTCCTCTTCCCTGCCCCATTTTCTCTCCCCCCAATACTCTTTTTATTTTTCTTATTTTCCTTTTCTTACATTTCAAAAAAAAAAAAATCCAAAAGATTCTAAATTTTAAACTTTGTTTTTCAAAATTGCATTGGATTTTTTGCCACATGTCAGAAATTTATCGAGTTTTTCTTACCACATGAGTCCATGGACTATCAGTGTTAGTCAAAAGCATGTAGCAGAAGTAAAGTTCAAGCACTTAATTGGGAATTTGTTATTCATTGGGTCCCTGATTAAGGAAAAAGTATATAGTATACGGGGCAAATGTGTATTTAACCCTAACAAATACTTATTTTGTAAGGTTATCATATGTCAAAGATAAACACAACTTATCAAAGATGAGCAAAGTTTCCAGATATTACAGAAATTAACCTCAAAATCTACAATGGTTGTCTCATGACTTCCCATGCCGCTTGACCAGAACTGAGCTATTGCTAGTTCCATTGTTTGACAACCTACAACACGAAAGGAGAAGCTTTAGGCTGTGGGAGAAGAAAATGTTATGACACGCTCCCACTTGATAGGCCTTCTCAGTGGACAAATCTGCATGTTACACACATGTCAAGGAAGGCTAAGGTCAATTCTAGTACAGGTTCTCACTACATGCTATACCTGGATGGTGTCAATGAAAAATCGTCTCGTAGTATCAACCCATCTAGCAACAAGTGGCACCTCTATATACCTCCGTTCTATGTGGCCTATATAAACAAGACAGTCATAAAAGGAAAATGGGAATCAACTCATGGAAAGGTTATTGAATGCATAGAGGGTGCAGAAAATATAAATGAGATTGAATTCTGTGCCAAACGAACCTGGAAGGAATGACATCCTTGAGAAGGAAATTAGTGGTGGCCGATTTATTACAGCCTTTGGCTTTGTTATAGTGATTGGGATTCTGAAAAGAGGACCCCGCCATGGAGCTTTGCAATCAATTGAATTCCATAGACTTCATAATAGTGAAGACCATCACTAAGAGTTGTAGGATCAACAACTATGCTGAAAAGAAGAGAAAATAATTCCCTATTATCAAACATGTATCATCCAGGATTAAAAACTTAATTTGGAAAATATAGAAAATTTTCATTCAACTACCTCCAAATGTAGGTGCTGCAAGTGACATACATTACGTGTTACAGTTAAGTTTCATCACATACTTTAGTAATCAATGAAGAGCATATAGATTTTTAAAATGTAGGGTGGGACCGCTTTGTCAATAACCCGTGAAACAATTCATGACCGAACCAACCCATGGTTGATCTATGAAGAACGACCCAATCTGTCTATGCGGATATCTTGTCCAACCTACCCAATGGATACCATACAGACTAGGTTGGCTCTCAGATTTTCCCAACCCAAGTCGCACCTCTAAAACCCGGTATAGTCTATCTATTTTAGAAAACTTTTTTATAAATGGGTTGAGCCTTTCCATTAATTTGAATTAAACACCCACAAATTTGTTGGGCACACAAGTATGGTAGTACTGTACACATGAAAACCACCTACAGTGGTTAGTTTATCTTCAGGCAAACCACCTACAGGAATAGATGTATTCTCAAGAGCTTTCCGTACAGTATATGGGCTTACAATAATTCCCTCCCCCTGCAGGCAACATTAAATAATCTATCTATAGATGCACACAGAATAGCACACAGAATGAGAGGAAAGGAACAATCAAAAACTTGAAAATCAAATTGTAGGGAGACCTTCATGGCACTGATAAGCAATGCGATCCCCCCACAAACAGATGGAGATGCCATTGATGTTCCATTCATGAGCATGCGCCCTTGGAGAGTCCAAGTAGGAACAGGTGCAACAGCCCCTCCGGAGCACTTATACAGACCCCAAGGTTTCCATCAGCTGTAGGTCCTCGGCTGGACCTGCATCCATTGGGACCAATTCTTCAACGAGTTTGATGCAAAAAAAAAGACAGATCTACAGGTGGAAGGTTGTGGTACATCATGTTTCAATGCCAAACAAAGAAAAAAGAATTTAAATTACCAAGTGTACTCAAGCCCTTCAGCTGGAGGTTCAACTACGGAATGAGCACCAGCAGCCATTTCCGGAGAGACATATGCACCAACTCCTATGACACTAGACGAATTACCACCTGGAGCACCAACAGTGCTCAATGCTGGGCCACTGTTACTAGCACTACTCACAAATATTAACCGGTGCTCATGTACCACCTAAATTAAACCCAACAATGACACTCCTAGCATATTAGAGAGAGATGAAAATTAACACGGAAAACTACATCATATATCTATGCCTATAGGAAAGGTTCAAGATCTTTACTTCATTAACAAGATCAACAAAGCGTCCATAGTCAGGTCATAGTGTAGGTTCTCCATAGCTCATGTTGATCAGATCACATTTATGCTGTCAACAGAAAAGGAGGTAGAAAATCCATAAGGTTGTGATCAAAATGCAACATATTGAAGTGTCCGGAGATATGTCACACCGACACACCAAATGACAGCATCTAATCATTTTGCAGTTCCTGAGACAACATGGTTTAGCCATCAACAGAAAATGCATAAATGCATCAAAATGATATATGAAGATACGTGTTTATAATGAATATGGTATGGATGTATGCCAAAAGGTGATATTTCGGCAAGCGCACAGGATGATAAATGCCTAATGATGACAACAACACAGAACTGAATAATCATCAGACGAAAAAAGCACATTGACCCACCTCCACAGCACCTATTAGTGCTCGCATCAAGCCAGTTCCTGTCTCCATTGAACCCAAACGTGAGTCTCCAATTTTACATGAAATTAATTGTGCTCCAGGTGCAACACCATTTAACAAGGGCTCCTGTTAACATCATGTAAGAAGAAATTTTTATTCCAACTCCAAAAGGGAAATGCCGCTAACTGATTTATTAAGCTTAAATAGCAATACCTGTGGGTGGAAAGCAGCAGCGATACCGGAAACATGAGTGCCATGAGGAGAGCTATCTGTAACAATACTTAATATATTCCCCTCGTCATACACATTAACAACAAATGTACATGCATCTAATTTACTAAACACGCCATATTTCCGTTCAATCCTGCAAGGATGGTATCAGCATGGTTAGCTAACAAGTACATTACATTTGTTTCAGAAACCCCAGAGCAGAAAATCAACGAGGAACACTTCCAATATTTTTACGAGAAGTGCTTTACAATATGAAACAATACTCAAATAGAATGTCACACGGAAAACATCCAAAACCAAGTTTAATATGGTACTTCATTCATATTAATATTAGCATTATTCTATCATTAAAAAATCATACCGCTACTTTTGCATATATGACCAAGAAAGATTAGTCAACAGGGTGATTATATAAACGAAAAAGATGTGGACCTGTAATTAGTTAGGGGCACAAAGCCAGCCAGCTTCCCAGCTTCTGGATCATCCTCGAGACTTTGTGTATCAAGAGCAACCCTCCATTCTTCTCCATCATGCCATACAACAGCATCTATAACAGGTCCTTTGTCATCATAGCTCTAACACATGAACAAGTAGAAAGCTCGGAGCAATATAAATTTAGGTACAAGAAACAAGGCAATTTAAGAAGATCCTTGAAACTTACATCAGCCTGATTTTTTAAATGTCTATTCTATTCTGGAGATCACCACGAACCCTTTTCAATTTTGGATCCTCCGCCTTTTTATGTTTCTAAATAAATGAAAGAATAACATATTATACACAGTCATAGTAATAAAATGAATGCTGCACGAGTATAATTCTATCAGACTAACAACTGGTGAAATGCTATCTGTAACACAGAAACTATAAGAAGCAAGGGACTTTTGACTTTTCTGTTTATTCCCAAAGAATATTCTTTTTATCATGGAGACGGCGTCATTTTTGAAGCATATACATAAGTAATGTACTAATTACATTAAAAGAAGGATAAAATACATGCCACTTATCACTACAACGAAAGATAAGAGTATACAAAGAAAACATGAAATCTTTTTTGTTGTTGCTAAAGGAAGAGTACATGCATCTCAAAGTGCCCAATTTCAATTCACTCCATACCATATACAAATTTGAAAAAAAAAATATCTTGCCAAATAAGAAATAGATTACCAAGGCACCTGCAACAGAACACAGTAAGACCAGAAGAGAAGCATAAACAAAATTGAAGAACTAGACTCACTTTCACACAATGGATGCACAAATAAACACAAAACATATATTAAAGATTTGAAAGCAAGTATACAAGATGTATTCAAAAATTAAAAGAAAAATGGATTTGAAATATGAAAATTTATGCCTGTGATCATAAAATAAAAGGTTGCCAAGTAGAATTTTCAACAACCTGACCGAACTCATAAAGATGCATTACAGCCTTTGCAATCGCCTCTTGGTTTTTTTCATCCCAAATTTTCTTTTGTCGACACCGTTTTTCGCCCGGGCGGAGAAAAGCCGATACTGACTCGGGAGTTTTCTCTTTGAAAATCGTTTCGAAATGTGAGGAGTTGCCACCAATCATTTAAGGTGCGATTCGAACACAATAAAAACCGGGTGATTTTAATAAAACATTTTATTTTTATCAAAATATCGAGTTTTGGGGTCTGCAAAAATCCATAAATCAAGTTCGGGAGTCGGTTACGCGTGGGGAAGGATTAGCACCCCAACAAGCGCCCCAAAAATTGGTACCTAGTTGATTACCCTATATTTAAAATCGAAAATTTTGAGTTCGATCTTTATTTAACTTGAAAATCATTATGGATGCAGATTTTGAAAAGGGTATTCGTTTATTGAGACCGATAGCACTCGCCCCCGAGCGTAAATGCGGGAGATCAGTTATTGCACCTAATAACCGAACATTACTTCATTTTTAGGAAACATGATGCGGTTTTGAAAAGGATATCGACCTATTTAGGGAATCACCAGTAGTAACTCCCTGAGCATGATCGTGGGAGATATATTATTAATTCCTTAATAAGTGAATAGTGCCTTAGATTTATAAAAACAATACGATCAAGCAAAAGTTTATTTGTCCTAATTATACTAAAATAAATTAAGGCTTTTTCTAACTTACAGTGACAAATTATGAAAATTAAAGAACCTAGGGGCTTAAATCTAAAAATGTAGACTCTAATATTAATCATATTTGATTATGTAAATGATAAAGTTCTAATTAAGCTTGGGACCAAAATGTAAGAAATTAAAATTCAGTAGCTAAATTAAGATCTAACAAGGACTAAATTGAAATAAAATAAAATTGCGTAATAAAATAAAAATAAACTAAAAACGAAAGGACCAGTGACCAAAATGTAAAAATATGGCTAAGTTATAGGGACTAAAATAGTAAATTTACCAGATAATTAAAACATGCATAGCAAATTCGTGTAATTTCATTTTTGGTCACTACAGTGACCTTTGATCTTGCTTTTATTTCTTTCTGGAAAAACCGAGAGAAAAATCTCCTCGTTCTTACATTTATTCGGGTTTTTATACCTGAATTTTTACATAGATTTACATATAAAAATAGCAACTTGTGGTGTGCTTGATGATTTCCTGACTTTGCTTCTTATCTCTTATGGTAGTGTCAGTGGTAGAAATGAGCTCTGATGGCAGCGGCAACAACAACAAATGGCCTATGCTTATGATGAAACCCTAGGTAGAAATGGGTCGGGTTAGTTGGGCCTCGGGTCGGATACGGGTCTGGATCTTGGGTTTCAAATCGGGTCAGCAGTTGGCTACTGGATTGGGCTTCAACTGGGCATCGGGTTGGATAGGTTAGCTGATGTTGGTCTATTTGTGATCTGGGCCTGCTGAGTGTTGTAAATATGGGCTTCTTTTCGGCCTAAACCATAAAGTAAACTAAATTAATAATAATAATAATAATTTTTTCTGAGACCCAGAGAAAAAATGAGTGCTTACAGCTGCACCTCTTTGCACATTCTTGTGTTAACAAGAATAGGGCAAAGAAAAAAAGACAACCAGTTTTTGTCTGGTTCTCTTTTTGGTTTCGGAAACTTGATATGTTTGTTGTTTGGGACGATACTTCTCATTCGTGATGGAGAGTTCTATTCGTCTAAGGGTTAATGGTTTCAAGAGAAACCGTCTCAAGAGAGACAAAACATGTTTTAAGGGAACCAGACTCAAGGATTGGGGTTTCAAGAGAAACTGTCTCAAGGGAGACAAAATTTATTTCAAGGGAAACTGTCTCAAGAGAGACAAAATTCGTTTCAAGGGAAATTGTCTTAAGAGAGACCAAATTTGTTTCAAAAGAAACATTCTTAAAGTTCTGTGTTTCAAGAGAAACTTCTCAAGGGAGACAAAATTTGTTTCAAGGGAACCTATCTCAAGAGAGATAAAATTCGTTTCAAGGGAACCTATCTCAAGAGAGATAAAATTCGTTTCAAGGGAAACGTTTTCAAAGTTTATGTTTCAAGAGAAATTGTCTCAATGGAGACAAAATTTGTTTAAAGGGAAACTGTCTCAAGAGAGACAAAATTTGTTTCAAGGGAAACTATCTCAAGAGAGATAAAATTTGTTTCAAGGGAAACAAAATTTGTTTCAAGGGAAACTGTCTCAAGAGAGACAAAATTCGTTTAAAGGGAAACGTTTTCAAAGTTTATGTTTCAAGATAAACTATCTCAAGGAAGACAAAATTCGTTTCAAGGGGAACTGTCTCAAGAGAGACAAAATTCGTTTTAAGGGAAACATTTTCAAAGTTTATGTTTCAAGGGAGACAAAATTTGTTTCAAGGGAGACAAAATTTGTTTCAAGGGAAACTATCTCAAGAGAGACAAAATTTGTTTCAAGGGAAACTGTCTCAAGATAGACAAAATTCGTTTCAAGAGAAACGTTTTCAAAGTTTATATTTCAAGAGAAACTGTCTCAAGAGAGACAAAATTTGTTTCAAGGGAAACTGTCTCAAGAGAGACAAAATTCGTTTCAAGGGAAACTGTCTCAAGAGAGACAAAATTCGTTTCAAGGGAAACGTTCTCAAAGTTTATGTTTCAAGAGAAACTATCTCAAGGGAGACAAAATTTGTTTCAAGGGAAACTGTCTCAAGAGAGACAAAATTTGTTTCAAGGGAAACATTTTCAAAGTTTATGTTTCAAGAGAAACTGTCTCAAGGGAGAAAAAATTTGTTTCAAGGGAAACTGTCCCAAGAGAGACAAAATTCATTTCTAGGGAAACAAAATTCGTTTCATGGGAAACATTCTCAAAGTTTATGTTTCAAGAGAAACTGTCTCAAGGGAGACAAAATTTGTTTCAAGGGAAACTGTCCCAAGAGAGACAAAATTCGTTTCAAGGGAAACGTTCTCAAAGTTTATGTTTCAAGAGAAACTATCTCAAGGGAGACAAAATTTGTTTTGAGTAAAAATTGTCTCAAGTGAGACAAAATTCATTTTTTGGAGAAAATGATCTCAAGTGAGATTAATTTTGTTTTAAGGAAAATTGTCTCCAACGAGACAAAATTTGTTCTCAGGAAAACTATCTCATGATCTGTCTACTATAAATATCTGTCCCTCGAGTGAGACGTTTGATTCGAAATATCGAGCGTCGCGTAAAGGAATTGTTGAAAACACCCTGCCCGAATATCTTATGGATGGCCTGAATGACTTAACATCTTGCTCGAAAGACTTATAGATGGTCCAATGGACTTACGCATCACGTTCAAAAGACTTACTGATGTCCCAAAGGACATACTTATTAAAAACCCTTGAAAATCAAGCTTAGTTTTTTGGTTGTTAAGGAACCCCTAAAAATTAGGCTTAGCTTCCTTTTAAAAACTCATTGAAAATCTTCATCAAGAAACCCCTGAAAATCAAGCTTAGTTTCTTAAAATCTTTTGTTTCGAGTGAAACTATCTCAAGCGAGATAAATCTTCTATTTTAACGGAAACTATCTCAAGCAAGATAAATCTTATGTTTTGAGAAAAAAATATTGATTAAAACAAAATATATTTTTTCGAGTAAAATTGTCTCAAGCAAGACAAAGTCTGTTTTTGAGAAAGGCGATCTCAAAGGATTATAGACTGTCCACTTCTACATGTTGAGGAAATGTCTTCACAAGATTTGATCGTTCATCTCAGGAAATTGAATCCCCAAAGATACCCAACATTCGATGTTGAATCTCCAAAGATGCCTCATCATTTATCGTTTCTTGCTTCAACACTGATTCTAAGCATGAGCTTTGTGTCTGAGAGCCACATGTCAACTACCAAGATCCATTCCAGAGAGATTCTCTTGTTTGAAAATGTTTTTCTTCTTCTTTCATTTTTAAAATTCTGAAAATATCAATTAGAAAAGTTTTGAAAAATGTTTAATCAAAGATTTTGAGAAAATATTACTCCTTTCTAGGTTTCACAATTGACACAAATCATAAAACAAAATTTCATTGGATATCAAAGAATTAATTACATTTTTAATCATTCAATAAATTATAGCTATTTAACAAGTGTTAAGGTCAATGCTATCTTTGAGGTATGGTTAAGTAAGGAAAAAATGTCTCAGGTTATTGTCTTTGGTCTATGGTATGGTGTTCTTATTTTTTTTATATTCAAAGGTCTGATGGAGTAGCTTTGATGCTCGTCTACTGGAAGTATTCTCCGACTTCCAGCTCCCATGATCACACTCGGGTTGTGTGATACCTTATCAAGGGATCTGCGATCGTCTTATATGTAACCATCTTTATACTCGAGCCATCTTTTCAGGTTTCCAACTCG